CAGTGCGGGTGCCCCAGCGGCAGCACCTGCCTCGTTCTCCGCCGGGAGCACCGGTCAGGGCCTTCCTTCCAACAGGAAAATCAAATGTTCTGCAAACCTCACCGAAAGCCTCCTTCTCTGGCGCGGGGTGCCTTGGTCCTGCCCTCGGGGAAGGGGCAGTGCCAGGAGCAGCTGCTGCAGGTCCTCAACCCGGGAGGAGACCCCGGGGCCACGCACGCTGCCCTCTGCACAGCCGAGCCCCTCTGGCCTCTGCTCTACGAGGGAAGCCCCTGGACCCACAGCTCCCATCTGCTCAGGAACAGCCATGGCAGAATTGGGGGTAATCACTTTGCAAATGAGAACCCTATGTCTTTAATACCCTCAACTCAACTCCTTCCATAACATTTCTGATGAAATCTGGCAAACCTGTGGCATTGCTTTCTCCTGTTTGCCCTGGTGCTGTGAGGAGAAGCAGCCCCATAACCCAGAGGTCTGGGAGAAGGTGGTAAGATGGGTGGTGTTAGTACAGTACATGGACATATGCGGGAGGGGGCAAGAGCATCTCCTGTTTCATCTCAGCTGGGGGTCAAACTGCTCCCCAGTGTTCCCCAGAATGTGTGGTGGGGAAGCATGGTGATGATCCAGTTCCCTGAAACAGGTCTCCCTCAGCCTTCCCAAGACAGGTGTGTGGTGCAAGTCATGAAAGTGAGGGCTCCTGAGCAGGTGAGCTGCTGCCAGCACTGGAATTGTCTTTGATATCTTCAGAACTGAATTGCAGCTGCACCATATAAGTAGTTGTTCTCTTCATCTGAGTTCTCTGAAAGTGAATTCTCTACCATGAAAGGGGAGAAGCACTGTTCTTCAAAGGTTTGCAGCATTTAAGTTCAGGTTATCCTCTTTGTTTGCCTAAGTCAGGGCCTAAGGAGAGTTTGTGAGCAAGTCCCTGAGGGGTCACAGAGATGCCTCTGTATGAACTGCCCTTTTCTCACTGAAAGCTCATCAGTGGTTTGGCCTGTGGATGCTTTTCCTGGGCTATTGATATTGAGATGCCCAGACAAAATCCTCCACGCAATTTTCAGCTTTCAGGCGCTGAACTTTATCCTGAAGATCGTAACTTGTGGACAGAGAGTGTGGAAAGGGTTGTGAACAGGCACACACCACTGGGTAGGGAAGGGATACCAACAGCATAGAGGGAGACATTGCCTGAGAGACAACTTTTTTTCAAAGACCACTGTTACATCCTTTGCTTGGACTCAAGAAATTTGCCTCGGGGACAAATGCAGAAACATGTTCTCCTTGGAATGAATGAAGGTGTGATTTATTTGTACTGAACTTTAGTTTTCAGTTTATTCTGGACATAGACGTACATTCTGCATGCATTAAATCTAAATGCCTTTTGAGTGATGCTCATGTGGGATTCTATGATCCTGCTTGTGTGAGAGGGATCAGAATCAAGCCAGTGACATTCTCAGGGAGAGCAGGTGAAGTTACAGTTACATACAAACCATGTTGTCTCTCTAGAAGATGCGTCTGCCCAGGATCCTTCGCTCCAGAAATCCACAACCCTCTGCAAGATAGGGCTGTAAGTGACATGCTGAGCTGTTGCATGTGCAAAATCATTTGCATCTATTTGCACAGCTAAAAAAAATATACAGCCTTATTCTGGAACATCTAGAATAGATGCCAGTGTGTTCATTATCCTTAGAAAGACTTTTAACATCGGCTGGGGAGAGGTTAATAATGTTAGCATTTCAGTGTGATGACAATATTTAGGCTTTTGCATTAACACTTTTTTGAATGGAAGAGTGGAAGATCAGACTTGGTGCTACTGTTAGTCTGTCAAAAAGCAGCATATTGGGTTACATTTTCATGGTTCCTTCCTATATCAAAGAGCTGCAGAGTTAATTTCTTTCAAACAAAATTGGTAAGTGAAAATATTTTAAATTAAAATTTTGAGACAGTCTGCTTGGGGAGTAAATTCTAATAACTAGCAAAGGAATCTGATTGTGGATATTTTAAGAATATTTTTAAACCACATATTTTTGTATTTCTACTATTTTTTCTATAGGAAGAGATGAATACTAAATTCAGCAAAAGGCATATGATTAGCATAAACACTTTATGAAAGCATTTATAAATTAGCACTTTCCCATAGCAAACATAAAACTAAGAAAGATACTTTTTGGGAATATTAGGAACATAGGAACTTGTTTAACTACCTTCTGATGTTAAGGGAAAGAATTATTTCTTAGGAATGAGTACAGTGGAAGAGCTGAAGTTAGGTGATGTTTAGAACTGGAATGTTGCTGCTATTCCCAATGTTTGCAAAAGTGAGAAGTTTGAAATGGCTTCTTTTCTACTTATGTAGACCTTGACCCTAGATTTATTGTAGTCAAGTCCAGTTAATTTACATGGTGCAGATTCAGCTTATTTCTGTGGTAAACCTGGAGTGACAAAACACAGAAATCTTAAAAAGGAAAAGAGATACAATTTGAATCCATTTCTTTTAAGATTTTTCAAGGAAGGAGTGGAGAGCTGTTTGCTTGGGATAATTTAGTGGTTAATGCAGATTAAGTTTTCCAGAGTAGTTTCCCATATGCTTCTCTATTGTGACTTTTTACTGATGCCACTGAATGCAATAATAATTGCAACACAGTGACTTATTTCACAACAGAATGTCCTAGGGATGAGGAATTAATTATTCTTTGCTGTGAATACCATTCACAGCCAACTTCTTTGTGTTGCTGGTCAAGTAAACAGGATTTCAGATTTGTCTCCTCCAAACACATCCTCAGAAGCTCTTTATCCATTTAATACCTCAGTTTTTCAGTTTCTAAAATTAGATCTATACCTACTTAGTGAAGCAGGGAGCATTGCAATGCATGTGAGTGAGTATGTGCATGAGAGAGCAAGAGAATGGTGGGGGTCACAGTAAGTCCATAGAGAGAAGTATTTTTACCTCCTTTGTGATTTAAAAAAAAAAAAAAAAAAAAAAAAAAAGGAGGAAAAAAAAGTATATGCTACTTAAACATTATTTAAGTCAGTGCTATGCTCAGGATGCTCATCTTGATTGTTGCTGCTAAGTTCAATTACACCATATTTATGCCAGGTGGCTTTTATTTGGTAATATATCAAATTCAGCTAAATCAATCTGAGCATCATTTGACCTGGTTTAAACTGTTTGTGCTAATATAACTGAAGCCTCCAATTCATGTCCACATGAGGAAGCAGTTGTGTTGTAGGGTTTTGACACATTACTGCCCCAGAGCTGTTTGCTCAGTTGATCTTC